GTCCTTGATTCAATATGCTATCGTCTATTCGCACAAGAAACTTCCGACCTGTCAAGTAGCTGCGTATCCCTTCTAAGAGTCCCTCAGCAGCCCAAAAGCCTTCAGCTTTATCATCAGTAGTCTATAATTGACGAAGTCACATTCTTTCTGGAAGTCTAGGTACCATACCTCAACTTCCTATCCCGTGTCCATCCCTTTGGTTACTTCATGAAGGAAACAGAGGAGGTTTGACAAGAATGACTTTCTCCTTTTGAACTCGTGTTGGTCAGCTTTCAATGAGCCTACGGTCACCATATATTCACCGATCCTAGCGCGCAGTACTTTTTCTATTACTTTCAGCACTACNACACGCCTTATGTTCTCCACCCTTGTGGATAGGGATGATTATCGTAAGTAACCAGTTCATGGGTAGCTTTCTCTCTGTGAAGGATGCACTGGGCTCAGCTAAGTGTTCAACCAGTGGTTTCAGGATAGCCGTGTAAATGTCATCTGGCCCTGCTGCCTTAGGTAAAATGAGCTCTCTCAAGACCCGATGCACTCCATCTGCATTGATCACCATTTCCGGCATGAAAGTTCTTTCATAGTATCCGATTGTGGGCTCTGGTCTACCATCCTCTGGTCTGTAAGCTCCCTGGAAGTAGTTGAAGAGAGATGACTTCTTTTCTTGTTTAGACTAAGTTTGATTTTCCCTTGCATCAACGATTATGCCTACTTCATTTATGAGAGTACCCTTTGACTGGTTGTTGAAGTACGCCTTAGGTTTTTGTTTTGCGTTTACAGGCAGGCATTTCTTGTACGTTCTTCTGCATTCATTTTGTACTCGATTGACCTCTTCTTTTAACCGCATTGATTTACCTACGCGTGCCCTCCACCAGGGCAGTTTTGACGCGGCGCCCCGGACTTTCTTCAGCTACTACCTGAAACTTCAGGTCCAGCAGACTGAGTTTTACGCGATCCTACTGGACTTGCACACCTTCCAGAGTACTCTCAACAGAGCAGTTTAACACACCATACGCTGCAATTCCGCGAAGATGATATCTTACTTCACTTACGCAGAAACTTGTCAGAAGCAGGTAAACTCTCCATCCTCAGCCTTATCCTGACTGTGTGATATACAAAATATCATAAATAAGTTAACCTAATTAATTATTTCATAACCCTCCCCCCCTCACACACAAAAATTGTAACAACGCAATCGTAATGTCATATAAAAGCTTCATGTGGTGGAGCCTAAAAATCAGAATCGTTGATTGCAAATACCACACGCTCTTCTCTCGGGTTTGAAAATCCGAAATATATGCTACGATGAGAACTTGGTGCTTGCTGATTTTCCTTTACACCATGATTTTTAAAACGTGTTTAATCATATTATCGTATACCAGCGAAACCAAAATGAGATTTAGATTCCTCTAAGTAGTATCTATGTTCCTTTTCGATTCTTTCTAAATAAATATATTTTTTACGAGTATTGTAAAGGAAACAAATACTGTGACAGACAGCTTGTAATAACCGTTCATCCACGAGAAACGAAAGAGCATGATAGTAGACCAATGAGAACCAATCGAACTGCCTCTACTGAAAGGAAAGTAACAAACTACACCTGTCTGCCTTGAAGTCTTGAGGTAGTACGCGGGTTCGAGGCTTGCGCCCATTATTCCCAGTTCCGGATTTGTCTTCCTTTCTGCAGTTCGGTGCATGAGCTGAAATTGATTTTGACGGAAAAGGGATTTGGCTACAATATGGTGCCGCTGGGTTAAGAGTGCGTGCATCGGAAAGCGAGGATGTGAGAGAAGAAGTGACAGAAATAAGCGGGATAACGTTAGGTCAGGGGGATGGTAAGCCCTAGGTGTAAGTCTAGCAGGGTTTTGAAGACCCTTTTGGAGGAGGAGTTCACAATCTCTAGTGGAAGTTTGTTCCATTCTGAGATGACCCTGTACGTCAAGAAGTTTGAGCGGATGAAGGTTCTGGGCCGGTTTTTGGAGAGTTTTCTTGGGTGTCACCTTACGTGTTCCTGGCTAGAGCGTGTGAAGAAACGGTCCACTTGGCTTGACGAGAATGGGTCATATAGACGAAAATGATCCCCTCTGATACGTCGTATATCTATAAGGTATATATTTAGCTGCTGTAGTCGGATGGGGTAAGGGATTTCTGACAAGCCATGTACTAATTTTGTGGCCCTTCGCTGCACACGCTCTAGTGAGTCGCGGTCGCGAATGAGGCCAGAATATACAGTTTGGCTGCCATATTCTAACAGTGGGAGTATGTATGTTCCATAGAGGAAAGGGAAGTTCTCTTTGGTTATACGCAGGAAAGATCATTTGATAAGGTTTAGAATACGGAAAGCGGTTTTACTGGCTTTTTGGCTGTGGGAAGAAACGAGAGATTGCTATTCAGCCAGAAACCAATAATTCTGTGCTGATCCACCAGTTGGATTTGGGTTGAACCGTTTACCCAGAAGGGTTGACCAGAAGCGTTACCAAAGGACTTGCTCGCACATTTTTCGTCATTGATTGGTAAGCTCCAGTCGATTGACCAATTTTTTGTTTGATCAATCGCCGACTGCACTTGGAATGTGTGTGCCCCAGACAGTGACATCATCCGCTTACACGGCAATCTCTATAGGAACACGTTTAGGGAGATAATTAATATAGATCAGAAATAAAATGGGACCTAGTACGGAGCCGTGTGGGACTCCTACTGAGACTGGGGAGGGTGAGGAAACCGAATTGCCTATTCAAACCACGAAGAAGCGCTCCGACAGAAAACTAGTAAGCAGGGAAAGCAATCGGTCAGTGATGCCATAACTCTCTAGCTTTTACAAGAGAGGAATATGTCGCATTCTATCAAAGGCTTTTGCAAAGTCTGAAAATTGCGTGCAAAATATGATCTTCGTCACAGGCGCGGGTTAAGCTGTCTATTAGGGTAAGCATATTGGAGATGCATGACCTGTTTGGTAGGAAGCCGTGTTGGAACGCATGTACCAAGCCGTTCTCAGTTAGATGCCTCAGAATACGCCATTTGAGGAGGTGCTCGAAGATCCTACTGGGAATGCTGATTAGGCTGATAGGCCTATAGCTAGTAAGCAATTGTCGATCGCCTTTCTTATAACTAGGAATGACAATTGCTCTATTCCACTGTTGTGGAAAGGTTCCTGTGTCCAAGCACTTTTGAAAGAGTTGAGCGTATGTGGCAGCTAACACGTCGGCGGATTCTTTCAGTGGAATTCATCCTGGCCCATGGAGCTGAGGGAGTTCATACATCTGAGCTGTTCTTTCACTATTGAAACTGGTAAGACAACGTGACCTAACGGGGATTGGTAGGTTAGGGGATGGAGGTTGGGATGACTGATTGGAGATGGGATGTTAAAGATTTTGTCGAAATGGAACCGGAACATTTCCGCCACTTCTGCAGATGAAGTGGCTGGGGTTAGATAGGGCAAGAGTGAATGGGGTACTTTGCCGGTTTCTTCGCATAAATTTGTACAGCACTGACCGGTTTACCCGTTCCCTGACTGCAATGCCGTTTTGTTGATATCTCTGGAATTCTCGGATACTTGATTTTCATAAATTACGAATGCGGATAAAATCATTGGTATCATCCCTCAGACCCATCAATTTGTACCTAGCAAGTGACCGCGAACATTCATCTAAAAGATGAAAAATGGCACGCGGTAAAGGGTGCCTGGTTGATGAGGACTTACGGACGCGGGGCACCAGCCGATGGTCCAATGTGTGGACACAACGCCTTGCTTTGACAATAATAATAATACGTAGCATCCATGTCCCTTGTCGATTGCTCTCAATTTTCATTTTGTTTTTAATCAAATAAATGTATTTTTGTACGAGCATTGTAAAGGAAACAAGTACTGTGACAAACAGATATCTTGCAATAACCGTTCATCCACGAGAAGCGAACGAGCATGATAATAGACCAATGAGAACAAATCAAACTGTCTTTACTGAAATGAAAGTAATAAAATACACCTGCCTGTAATGACATCTTCTCGTCATCTCGAAAGCCCATCTCAATCAACCGTTGTCGACGATACGTTTCGTAGTTTACCGTGTGTGTACGTTCACGCAAGTCTTCCATGTTTATTCGAAGCAGCATTTCTCGAAGGCGAACGAAATCGCAGTGGGCTTCATTATCCACTTGCACCGCACCCCACGGATACTGCCGGACACGGGTATTCTTCCCATTGATTTTGATCTCTTCCCCACTTCCGACAACCGCAAATGGAACATGTTGCTGTTCGGAAATATAACGGTACTCACTTGATTATATAAAGGGCAATGTTAGTACTGTCCAAAAAGACGATCGCCTTGACGATCGCGACTAAAATCTTCATAGAGATATATCAATGGCAAACCCTTACATCAGCTTGTAGTATCCCTGATGGAATGTACAGTAGAAGGGGTGAACTCAAGATGGGTGCATGTTAGGCTTAGTAAACAAACATTAGCCATTAGATTGGGAATAGCGAACTATACAAATGCGAGTCGTCTTACTGGATTGGGTAACAAAAAGCTGTTCACCAGCAAGATAAGATAGTAGTGAACGAACAAAAATAATCGAGCTTACAAAGTAGTTTGCACCACTAGAAGTAACTTAAGTTGTATGACGTTTGATTTCGCTTTTTCAAAAACGATAAGATACCATCAAATGTGTGGATTAGGTGTTTTGGATTTGTTTAGGAGTACTGTTTAGTGAAAACCCTATCCATTTTGCTATCTGCAGCCCGTTTACTAACTCGATCTGGACGTTTTAATAGCTGCAGTATGTTTAGTTTACCATTCTTGTTCCCTCATTTGTCCAGTATGGCTATGTTACTGAGTCAAAGCACAATGGAATTATGGAGAAAGATTCAAGGTGAAACTTCAAAAGTTATGATCACACAAGAGGAGCTTACGTTCATTTTGGTATTGACATCACTCACGGTTTCATCATCCGTTGGAAATTGGTAAATGCTTATCTCATTAGATTGAATTTCAGATAGAATCTAAAAGTAATTCGTGGATACATACAACAAAAAGCACCTTACCCTTGCTTTGAACTTTTGCAACTCTGTCTTTGTGACNAGCCACAACATCAAGCGATTTGAGGCTGAGAAAATGCGTAGAGATTTTTGATCAAAAATAAACGATAGGGCTTCTTTCGAAAAGTATTAAAGGATCACAGCCGTAAATGTAACTGTGGTTCTATGCCGCCAAAACCTCTTGTGTGTATATCCTGCAAATGTAATCCTTGTGATACACGTTGTGTGTAATTCACAAAAGCGTCTCTATTTAAACCCCAACAATACAGCGGAGAGAACACGACTCGAGGCAAACGTCAGTTTATTTCGTGATTAAGGGTCAATACACAAATACAAAGGGTAACTAAAGCCTAAGAGAATGGCACGGTGACCCACCAATCAGATTGCGTCCTTGACATTTCCGTTGGTAGATCGGACGGCCGCGGGACGATTCATTCTGTAGTCATCCATTCTGGACACAGCCTGCCTGACGCGTTGCGAGCGTGCGTGTGGCCTGGATGCGTGCTCGACCTTACAGGTTGCTTAAGCTCCGTCCTATGACCTCCCCCTTTTGAACACAACTGTATTTTTTGTAGGATCGTAACCTCATTTTGGTTTGGAACGGTGCTGTTGGGGTGCGCGTGCGATCCGTTCGTCGTCCAGGTTGCCGGGAACGCTATCTTCGATGATGGTGTTGGTTTTAGTGGTTCAAGGCTCGGAACTGGCATGGCATGTGTACATCACTATGTCCAACGACAGTTTAGGTCCGGGGTTCGGTTCACCATTGCATCTGGTCGGTTTCAGCTGACTGACGTACCCCACCCACCATCAAAGCCAACTAAGATTTCGTATATCACTTTTCTCCGGCGTCCATATACTCGACGAAGTGTGCGCCTTTCTTATTTCGGTGTCCCACATCAAAACTTACTGATCCTTCACAAACGATTGTTTCCGAATACTATAGTGTCGTCTCATGACTGTCGGACAAGCAACTTCCAGGGGTTTGTTGTCGTATCTCCCCTGAAGGATGATGTCAAGCGGAGAGTAGATGTTCCTTCTAAATGTTGTGTTGGCCGAAGAGGCACAATGGGAGTCGGTGTCGGCTTGTGGTTTGGTGGAAAATTTCCTGGGGATTCGCCTTTGGTATCCTCCCCTTTGAATGTCTAAAATACCCGCTTGAAGTATATAAATCGTTCGGCTGGGACGTTTGACCGACTTCCGAATTCAGCCCTCTCTCTTTGACCCTTCTTCCGACCTGTAACAGCTTCTGAAGCAACTTCTTTGTCGCTCGCCAAAGGTCGCTGCCAAATAGCACAGCAAGTAGTTTTTTGTTAAACACCAGTGTGTGATGAACAGACAAGGTGGAACCCCATGGTCTCGAAGACCTGCTGTTCAGTGATGATAACCGGCAACCTAAACCCTGGGACGCGAAGTGGCGAACAACATAAGGCCCCGTTAGGTCAGGCGTGGTATAGAACCGGGCAGCAGCAAAGCTGTTTACCACCAAAGTTGGGTGGCGGTGGCCGGGCTCGAACCTCGGACCACAGAGTGGGAAGCATGCCAGTGACAGCGACTAAACAACTGCGCCACCACCCAGAAAAAGATTGCAGATTCTGAAGCCCCATCAATCACATAGTCTGGGCACTTCAACGTGAGGACTCTAGTGTAATTGGGTCAACAAGCGTATCTGACGCGTACAATGGAATCCTTAGGGATTGATGTTTGCTGCGTATCAGACTTGCATCCAGTATCCTACTTGTTACATTCTGAATACGAGATGACAATAGTCGGTAGTTGCTCGAGAGATAGAAAGAGAAGACTGAGAGCCCGGAGATGTAATGCTTTATTTGTCTAACAAATCTGGCATATAGACTGAAACATAAAAGAGAAATTTTATGAATACAGCGATATGCAACAGACAAAGAGTGTGATAAATGACATCCTTCCCGGTATAGAAAATGTTGTCAGGCCTATCTGCTTCTTAGGTTATAAGGGCAAGTTTGTTGTTGTAATTCTAAAAGTGGTTGTTGGCTATTCGCCGGCTGAGGAGAGTTTGCAATATGAGGTGAGACGAGATCACCCGTGGATTGTTTGTGTACTATCAATAGGGACATCATTTGATATGGATGCGATGAACGGAGGTTCGAGGACTGTTGGCAGACACGATGATGGTTCAGGGGCTAGATGATGAATGAACACAGTTTTGAAGTCTAACGTGGGTGTACCTTGGATTACATTCGAATAAACTCTATCTTGTTAACCAGTGGCTCGTACTTCGATACTCGTGAGGGGGGGGGCGTTTCTTTAAAACTGACCCACAAACAGCCAGCCAACTTGGTAGTGATTCGCCGGATGTTGATTTGCGATTATACTTAGAGGTGTTCATGAGGAGACTGGTTCTTAGAGGTACACAAGAGGGAACGAATAAAATGTAAAACATCCGGAAGAATAATTTTCCAATCACTGCAAGATAAAGATCTCGATTTGGTGGCTAGGTTGATGACGCGCTACAGTGTGCCGTTGAACCGCTCAACCTGACCATTATTTTGGAGGTTGTATGTGATGGTTTGGCTAGTTACAATTTCTTTAGCATGAAGGAAACGTTTCGGTTCATCTGACATGAATGAGCTATGAATGTAAGGTGTACCAAATACAGAAAATAATTTACAGATGTGACTGATAACAGTAGTAGTTGCTATATCGATACAGGGAGATGCGAACGCAAACCACGAACACTCATCAATTATTGTGAGTAAATATTTGTTACATGTGTGATGGTAATGGTCCCTTTAAATCCATATTTAACCTCTCGAATAGGGTGGTAGCTTTATTAAGGTTCCCGGTGGGCAGTTTGCAAAATTTCGGTTTTAATTTGGAGTACACTGTACATTGGGTGATGGTGTTTTGTACGTTTTGTACGAAATAAGGTAGATTCTGGGATCTCACGAAATTGCAGAAGACGCACGGAGCCAGGATGGCATAGTGAATTGTCAAGCTCCCTCAAGGACATGGTAGTTAATGTGGATGTGATGTGCACGTGAGTCAGCAACTACGTTTTCTTTACCTGGACGATATGATATATCGAATCTGTAGCAAGATAGTTGGATGCTTCAGCGTTGTATTTTTCTCGTTTCTGACTTTCCCTTGCTGTTGTTTGTCATACATGAATGCGACTGACCTCTGATCAGTGATTCTAAGAAAATGTGAACCAATTAAGTAATGCCGCCATTTTCGGACTGCGTCGAAAATAGAATAGGCTTATTACTCAACGGAAGAGTGACGCTGCTCGGAAGGTGTTAGTGTTCGTGAGAAAAGCACAACTGGTCTACGATGATATAGCGGCTATCGCTATGTATGAAGCATCGGTTTCCAGCACCAGAGTGATGATCGACGGTTGTCATTACAGCTCGAGCAAGTTCATTTTTCAGAACATCATACGCTTGTTGGCAGCGGGCATGTGCTGTTGTTGACCAGAGCATCAATCTTGTCAGAGAAATGAGATATCAACTGAGGGTAATACGCATATAACCCAAAAACCCTCTGCATCGATTTTTGATCTCGAGGCGGCAGCTCCAGCAGGGGTCGTAGACGATCCGGGTCGGATTTGATGGACCTATGAGAGACTTCGTACCCAGGTATCTTGATTTTGTCTGTGTTTACGATGGTTTTAGCGTAATTAAAGGTGAGGGAGCATTTACGAGCAACCTCGTAGAAAGTATCTAAGTTTCTCCGATGCTCTTGCTCATAGGATATTATCCAAACAGGCAAAAGTTGCTTCTGGTTTCTCGTTTCCAATGATTCGATCAACAACTCTTTGGAAAGAATAAACACCATTGGTGATGTCGAAGGGAATCCGACAGAACTGACACAAATTGCCACCCACTTCCAATGCCGTATACGTTTTACCTTCGTCCCTTAAGGGTATATGATGGTACGCGCACCTTCACGTTCAGTGTACTAAATTTCGTAAACCGTGAGATTTGCTCTACCATTTCGTCCATCTTGGGCAGGGGTAGGCATTGAAGAGTGAGAAGCGGTTAACAGTCTGACGGTACTCAACTAACATTCTGCATTTTTGACGTTCGCTGGTAGTAACAAGCACTTGGGCATGTCGAGGAGAATGAGAAGCTTCTATGATGTCATCTCTCAGCATTTTTTGCACTTTCATTTTGATTAACAGTTCGCCAGAGGGTGAATTCCTCCAAGACTTGGTTGCAATTGGAGTGCAATCAGGTGTGAGATTGTTAGATACCGGAGGTGGCTCGATATTCGCAGCCGCTACACTGCAGACCGAAAATGAATCTTTGGCTCCATTGAACGGAATTTCTATTTTTGAGTGTAGTCGGAAGAAATCGTGTCCAAGGACGACATCTGAACAGAGGTTACCTAACACAGAGCCTAATATCTGCATGACGATGGTTCTTATACAATAAATTAACAAAGTGGTGTTCATGGGTAAGACTGGTTGGGTTCATCGAAGCTATGGATACAGCACTACGAGACTTTTCGACATTTCACTTGTTTTCGTACCACAGAGTTCAATATGTAACTAGCAGAACTGCCAGTACCAATGAGAGCCTGAAGAGATATTCCGTTCACAGAGCTCCGGATAACTAAATTGGATAGACATGATGGAGCTGCAGCGAGTTATGGAGGATATCAGAGAGCTGGTAACAGATGATGAATTTGAGTTTTGCTTGGATAGGCAAACCTTTTGATACTGTCCTTTTTCCGCAGGACTTGCAGATTGAATCTTTAGCTTGGCATTTGATACGAGGATGTTTGGAACATCCGCAGAAGAAACAGCGAGTGTTGGTCATAGAGGCCATACTGTCTTCCAGTGGATTGGGTTTGACAGGGCACCAAGTTCGATACAGACGCATTTTGTGACTTGGGGGTCAACGACTGCAACTGTGTAAGCGGAATCGACTGGGTGGAAGACGTTGGACTGTTGATATGTCATCTCTAAGGTTCTAGCCCGTTTGCATGCTGCTTCTAGGTCAAGTGTCCTGTTCTACAAGAGGCACTGGTGGATGCTACTGGACTGCATTCCGCTGATAGAAAAATGGCGTTATTTTGGTTTTGTTCGGCGGTGACGGCTATGAAGTTATAAACTTGCAAGTTATTTCAGCTCCGCATAAATTGATCCAGACTCTGGCCTGCCTCCTGTTTAATGGTAGAGAGTATATGACCAGCAAAAACCTCGTTCTTGGGTTTCACGTAAAGCTTCTCTAAGATCGTCATAGCGGATTGGAACGTCTCACTCCCGGCAATCTACTCGTCAACGGTGGCAAGAACGCATCCAATGATGTGGTCTAGCTTTGCGAGTTGTATTGGGCAACCAAGACCTTTGACCCCTTCCAAAAGACGTATGACGCGATGAACGACACCGGCCACCAATGGATCGCGGTTTTCCTCACGCCGCCCCGCTGCCTTGCGGGCCAGGCTTTACGCTATATACAGCTATGGTCTCGAACCCTTAAAATACTTCAAGACTAGACTGCTGGAGTCAATTTACCTGTGACCAGTTAGAGCAATGAAATACAGACACACATGAATCCGTGTATCATGGAAATTTTGCAGAGAGCGCTTCATTTTTAATTCTTCTTGTAGGTACTTCTGATTAGGCAAACTGTCAAAGCCAACATGACTTGACAATTTTAATGTCCGCACTTCGCCGGTATGTATTAAGTAATAAACCAACATTCGGAAACATACCAGCGTCTTGATGTCCGATGCCATTGTAACGCACCTTTACAAAACGCCTCCTACTTTTGTTTGAACTGCCGCGCGGTTCGAAATTTGTCCAATATCCAGGTAACAGGCAAAGAGCTCCTTCGCCTGTAGATTTACCTGTTTCTTAGTTATTCTTGGAGAACTGTGTCATCCGGATTAGGTTCTGTAAAGTTTGTTTTCGTTGGGATCTCAATTCCAGCCAGGTTAGATCAGGTCACTGGGATTCCCGATGATTGACGGGCTTGGGAACCGAAGTTTTCGAGTAGCCCGGGTTCTGATTGTAGGTTTGTTCCTCGGTAACAGACGGAGGTCCTCGGAATAGATGTCTGTTACTCGGTATCCGATTGTCGCTAAAACAAGAGACAGTTATGCGTGTTCAAATGTTTTTCTTTTTTTATGCGCTCTTACGTAAGCAATGGTCAAGACCACACAAACGGGGTTCACAAAAGCCTTTGCCACCACACGCTTCGCAGTGTTCCAATGGCGCCCACCGTTACAACCCGTTTAGACAGCTGGGACGCACAACAAAACCATGCAATCATCCTTGCAGCAGTCAGGGTAAACGAGTAAAAAACGGTGCGTTAGGTAGCCAGGAGTAATGGAGTGGGTCTCCACCCTCACCTTTTCAGAACCGCATCCGCAGCTTACTTGGTACTGGACCGACAGTTTGCTCCATGGCTACGTGACTCGGCCTCTGCGACCGGGATTTTGGGGTGTAAATGAATGCACTGTGTGAGGGGGTGTCCGGGTGCATGAGTGATGTTTTCGGTTAGGGAGGCACCACCCCTGTACTCCTACCCGACTACAGTCTTCGACTGCAAGTGATTAACCAAGAGAGTAATTCTCCCGCCGAACCACCTGTATGTTTCATTTTTCTTTTTGGTTCCCTTTCTGTTTTCTTTCCTTCACTCTTCTTTCTTTTTCTCATTTTTCTTCCTTCAATCGCCTCAGGGGATAACTTGCTATTTTGACGGGTCCTGCGGTTGGAACCTCGTGGGTACCCTTCTTTTCTTCTTTTTATTGTTATTTCCCCCTTCAAAACCATAGGGCGTTGCGAGCCGACCCGAGATTATACTACCACCGGTCACTCACTTTCGACTGTATTCAATCGCCTCCATTTCTTCCAATAAACTAACTTAGTGCTACCATTCCCGTGGCCTTTTCCTCGCGTTTCGTTCACCTGGGATATTGCGAGCCCATGCCATTGTGGTTTAGTGCTTTCGTAATCCAGTTCGTGACGGCTAGTCCTTGATTCGTGTCCAGTGATTCCTATTGCGTGTTTTTATTCCGAATTCCGTACTACTACTACTACTACTACTACTACTACTACTACAATCACTACAGTTTTCTTTTTTAACGTTACAGGTTTTTTCTGTCCCATGAGGGATAAAAATCCCGCTGCCTTGTTTGGATGAGGGTCGTGTCTAGTGGTGGGTGGGTGTTCTATCACCCGGGTGATAAATACCGAGTGACCAGCCGTCCGGTCTCCGGCCTTGTTCGCAGGATGCAGCTCTGGCATCAGCGAGGATAGAGTAAAGATAAAATTTCGGGGAGTCACACATCCACATCATCTAATCTGCAAACATACACAATTTACGACAATCAAAGGCGGGTGCTCAGATTCCCCAGGTTGGAGTCGCTCCGATTACCGGTAACGGTATGTCGAACTGAGCGCCAGGGTACTGTTCGGCTATGTAAAGGTCAAGTAGCTTTTTGAAAGAATTTTTACTTTTAGCCTGGACTACTGTCGTTGGCAGTGAGTTCCAAGGGCAACATAAATATACACTGGTCTACACTGCCAGAGATGGGATTAGTTCCACCAATCGCTTATCAAGTGCAGCCTTAAAGGCCTGCACTGTTTAAAGTTCAACTATTTCTTTGGGAAGTCGGTTCCAACTATCGATTATGCTATTGCTGGAAAAGTGTTTCCGCATGTTTAATCATCAGCTTGAACTCATGCCCCCTAGTGCCGTGTTGGGAGCTAGTGTGAAGAGACTCCGCTCCTATACACGATATTCCCTTCATGATTTTGAAGTTTTCTATCAGGTTCCTTGCAGTCTCCTTCTTTCCAATGAGAAACGCCCTAGAGCCTCTAGTCTTTCCTCATATGTTTTCCCTCTTTGGCCAGGTAGTTTCACAGTTGTGTGTAGGATGTTGTACCTACAAGAGAAGGGATGAACAGCAGGATCGCCCTCGGAGAATCAACAGTTTCAATCAGTGGACAGGCACCGCACCACAGCGGACTGCTACTCCTGCCATGAGAGGTTCCCGGGGGCTAAAAGCTGTTGTACTAATTGTGTGTGAGGTGAGTAATGCAAAGGAGTGATGGTGAAAAAGACAAACGACTACATAAGGGGTAATTGGGTAGTAACTGAGATTTGTGATAGTCATACTCTGGAAACACCTCGTCCCAGCAGTTGTTCAGTCTCCGTTTGAACATTAGTTGCTGATAATAATAATAATAATAATAATAATAATAGGTGTATATTTCACGGAGCCTCGGGAGGCATGCGTAAGCATGATCAAATGTACAACATAATTCTCCGTGCAGGAGAAGCCCAAAAAGAAAAAAATTGAAGGTCGCAGTGAGCATAGTTACAAACGGAACACAGAGTGGACAAGGTGTTAGATTTTAAAAAAGTTGAGGATGGCGGAATGCTCTAAAAGAGCAAGTGGGTGGAAGTAGGACGAAAAACAAGAATTGTTATACCGGATGAATGGTGGGATGATTGGAAACACGACAAAC